TTCTCCTGTGTTTTTTTCCCCTCTTTCCCACTGTGTTTGGGGTCTTCTGCATTTTTTTTTCCTTTCTTTTAATCACTAACATTTAGCCTTAAAAATAGTGACCAGAAATAATCTCTGAGTTTAACATCAGGAAGAAATTTTGGAGGATACTGATACTGATGAACTTTATAGGACTGGGTTTTTTTTTTAGTTCTGAAATACCAGTTACTAGTTGAGGCTTATCTAAATTTGTTCATGACTGAAACAGTGGTCTACTGTTAAAAGTGTCATAATAAAATATAAAATTTTACTTAGATTATTAACGTAAATATACTCATGTCCTTCAAAAATCAGAAGTAGTTGAAATAAGAAAATACATAGTTTAATAATTAAGTTTATAGTATTTGGCCTGAGAGGTTAAAGAAAAAGGAAAGGAATATATTAGTAATGTTTTAAACCATTAGTTTTTACTTCCCTGATTTACTGTATGCTTTTCTTCAGTAAACAGTCCTGATTAGGAAATACTGAATATTAATTGCAGTACATAGTACAGTAGAACTCACTAAAACTAAGGACAAAGAGTACCAGTAAAAGATTATGTTGATCCACTGGTCCAAACTTGAAATACTTCAAATTTTATATAAAATTCTGCTTTGGGCCCTTGCTGATGGCGCAGCAGGTTAAAGCACAGCACTAAGAAGCTACAGCCACTTCAGCATGAGTTCGATCCCTGCCCCAAAGGTGATCCACATGGAATGGCAGACCTTTCCTGGCCCTCCCACACTCCCCTCAGCAGTGTACTTCGTTAGCAGCCTGTTCTGCTCCCCACTTTGTCTCTGGTGAAACCTCTCACTGCCCTTACACCTCTAGCCTGTATCCCAGTTCTGTATGCATAAATACATCTTTTTTTAAAAAAATTCTGCTTTGACCCAAAAAGACACATGGCATTGATAAATCTATGTCTCATACATTCAGAAAATGTTGCAGGCAGCAGACTTGTAACACATAGGAAACTAAAATTAAGCTTCCAATTCATGTTTTAAGGTTAATGGGATAAATATAGTATATAAAGCAAGTAATTTTTTTTAACAGTGGCACTATTTCCCCCACTAAAATTATATATATCTTTTTTTTTAATCCCACTTATATTCTCATTTAATTGCAACATGACTGACAGTGAAACTCATGGAAATAATACTTTTCACATGGTGTTGGCTATAAATAGATGAAGTGCAGCATTTCTGGGTTCTTGTTCAAAGAATATATTTTTAACTTAATATACTTTTCAGCCCTCACCTTTGTGAGGAAGCTATCAACAGTTTGGGCAAAGTAAAATATTTTTATTGCAAAAAAGTCTCATACCTCATATATTATACCAGAAAGTATAGCTATTTTTAAGTAAGTCTAAGCTTTTGATGCAAAGCATTGATTACACTGATTAACTTTAGTTTAATCTAAAATATATTGGGGGCCATTAATTATAATCATTGTTCTAAAACTTATTTCTCAACTGAAATATAAGTTTCTGTGACAACTGATAACTTTTATACATGCAAAAAGTTACTTTCCATGTGATTTTATTTTCTATGGCTGTATCAAAGCAATATATGACATAATTTTTAAATCTTTATCAGAATGTAGGTTGCCAAGTATAATTTGAACAAATTAAGTACAAAGAGTCACAACTTAAAGAATTGTTGAACTGAATCAGTATCTCTGCATCTTTCCAGTCTCCACAACCCATTTGCACAGCACTGATGATCCACCCAAAGTGTCTTATCAAGAGTCTAACCACTCAGTTATCAATACTAAAGAGCTGCAATGTTACTTATATCAGTCTTGTGTTTTAACATATAGATTTATGGAAAGTTTACAAACAGAGATCCAAGAAATGGAATTCCTGCAGTTTTCTAAAGGTTTGAATTTTATGAGAAAAGAAGACTTTGCAGAATGGCTACTCCTTTTCACTAACACTGAAAATAATGACATTTATTGGAAAAATGTGAGAGAGAAATTGACAGCAGGAGAGGTTGGTATGCCTTTTTGTTATGTTTGTGATAGGATGACATAATAAATTAAACATGTATATAATTAAAGCAACTTCCAAATTAACTGAAACTAAATTATTCTTTATTATTATATTATTTAAGTATAAAATGTAGTTGAAGAATATACCAATTTCAAAAGGATGGACAGAATCAGCACAACAATTATAAGTTTTACATTTCTAGTAAAGTCATCACTATTACTTTCTACTATAGAAACATTAGCCAGTGCAAATCAATAACATAAAAACTTGAAAGGAGGTAACATTGTATGTAGATGATATGATTATATACCTAGAAAACACAAGGAAATATATCTGAAAACCCATTAAAAAATAAATAAATTTGAGTGGCACAGGGGATCTCAGTGCTGTCAAGCTGTCGCAAGCCAGTGTAACCTGAGTTCCATCCCTTGCCAGGGAATGGTGCAGCAGATCTTTCCTGTCTCACCCTCTGTTCCCCTTAACCATGTATTTCAATAGATCCATCTGTTCTCCCCATTCAGTCTTTGGTGAATCTTTTCACACATACCCCTCCCCCATATTTCTGACCTATGCCCCAGTTCTTGTATGCGTAAATAACTAAAACTAAATATTAAAAAAATAATAAATTCAATAAAGTGTCTATTAAAATGCTAAAGTAACTGTTCAATCAGAAAATGTAATGGCAACATGTTAATATATGTAGGAAGTGATGTTTGTCGCTGTTAATGATTACTATATTAATATTGCTAACAATACAAATATATTAATATAGTGATTGTAAGACTTCAAGTGATTTTTTATAAATAGCTTTATTTCACTCAAAAATATATTGACATGAGTATTTATATATATATGTATATATATAAAACAAATCAGAAAGCAATTTAACAAAAAATATGATTGATATTAAAAGGAATATCTAGTTAAAGACATCTGTTACTGAACAGGAAATCTTAGTATAAATATACTAAGATTTGCCATCCCTTGAATTCATCATTTATAAATACAGTGATGTTAATATTAATCAGAATAGCCTAGATTTGCTGTAGCTAAATGACCGTAGCTAACAAAAGGTTTCTTTTCATGCTACATTTTCATTATGGGCTGGTCGGAGGCTCTGCCAATATTAGTAACTTAGAGACCCAGACTCTGGACACTCTACTATCTTGGAACTCCACCGTCTAGAAAAAAACACCAGTCTAAGAAACAGTGACACAAGAAGAAAGGAGTGAGCCCTTAAATGTTTATCCAGGAAACATCACTGTACTAAACTAGTGACCAGGCTAACCACGCAGCTCCTACCTAGCCACAGGAAGCATGATCTTTCAGATATACAGGAATAAGAAGCGAAGTAAAGTTATCATCTGAATATAACATACATAAAAAATTACAGCCTTTATGAAAATATTAATTGAAATAAAAACTTAGTAAAGTGACAGGGTGCAAAATCAGTTTAAAAAATCAGTTGTGCTCCCATATACACACAATGAAGAGAAAAAAATCAAGAAAACAATCCCATTTGCAATCATATCAAAAAGAATTAAATCCTAGAAATAAACTTAATAAAGGAGGTGAAATACTTGTGCAATGAAAGCTATAAGATAATAGAAGAAAACATGAAGAAATAAAAAGATAATCCCTGTTCATGGATTGGGAAAATTAACATTAAAATGGCTGTGAGTGTATCCTTGGCCCACAGCATATTCAGAGAATTGGTGGGGGGGGGGGGGAAGGTAATTTTAAAAAACCCCACAGCAGCTGGGCCTTTTTCTCATCCCACTCAATAAAGTCCCAAGACTTTTATTTTTTATGTAATGAAAAGCTTTTTTTTTTTTTGTACCATAAACACATTTTTTTTTTACATCATTCTTCATTTTCTGCATTTTTCCAGCTCAGTTGTAATTCCCCCTGGGCCTCCCATCATCAGTTCATCTGTATGCCATCACCACAGTCCAGTGCATTCTTCCCACCCCAGTAAATCCCAAGACTTTTACCATGACATCCAGCACTGTCTGGAGGCAAGTGTGGGGGTTCGGCCACACTGAGATCAGCCATGTTACAGGGAGTAGCTCCATTAGCTGGCCCTGGAGACCATCAGCATACCAACATCAATAAGGTCCCTTTATGAGAAATCACTTAGGTTCCTACAAATGAAGCCTGTGCTTGACACTACACAATAGTGAGAGCAGTTACTTTGCATACAACCAAGGAAAAAGCATCAAATCAACTTGGCCATTGAGCAAACAAGGAGGTACCTGCACAACCTGCACCAGAGAAGGTCAGATGAAGCAATAGAAGTTTGTGAAGATTGTTGCCCCACTATAAATGACCAAACACCTGCGCCAGCAGTTTCCTCTTTTAGATTGACCTCCCTGAGATAGCCAAGAGCATCAAACCCTACCACTATTTCATGTCTGCCTGTGAACAGATGGGTGCTAGCAATACCTGCTGATCAACACTGAATTCTATGAGACTTACTTTCAAGCTGCCTATTGGGGCAATTGACAAGGCCAAAGGCAAGATTTGGACTCAGTGGAATGGGGAAGTAGAGCAGTTTTTCATGTAATTCCACTTTAAGATGAAGAAAACCACAGCCCCTCTGAACCTCCCTGCCATAACTCCTGGTGTAGTCTCCCTGCGTCCCCACTTGTCCTCTACTACCTGCGTCTCTGCCTCCACCCCACCAAGAAGCCTGTCGCTGCTCCCCATGCCCCAGAATGGGATTGCCTCTTAGGGTCTATGGGCACTCCCGCTCCTGAGATCCATCCTCTAGCTCTGGTAGTCCAGCCACCAATTTCTTGGCTCCAACCCAATGCTTTCAGGGATCTACCCTCTCAGCTGCTGTTGTTCACCAGACCCAGCAGCTTGCCCCAGGGATGCAACCACCAATCCACTATTCCTGCTGTTCTCCTCAGGTTCCTAGGGTCTCTCCATCAGCCACTGAAGTTCACCCACCTGCACTAGTGATCCAACCCCAATGCCTCTTAACACTGAGAACCCCACTGACCTCCAAAAGCCCTGGTAATATTCCTCCCCCTCCCCCCTCCCAACAACTGAAATGTTCTTTTCCCCTCTCATCCATCTTCTAGCAAGCCTGGGTTTCTGTTTTCCCTGTGCTTTTCCACTGTGCAAGGATTGGTATCTCAAATCCCACTAAATTTGTTACCCTGATGGGAATAGGGAAGTTAATAAACACTAAAATGGTCATATTGCCCAAAGCAGTATACATATTTAGTGCAATCTAAAAAACATTCTGAAATTCATCCGGAATTACAAAAGTTTGGAATATCAAAAGCAGTATGACACAAAGGACTTCAAACTGTGTGCCCAGACTTCAAACTATATACTTTAATAATAATCAAAACATGCTACTGGAACAAAACCAAACATTGGTCAATGGAATAGAATTATTAGCACAGGAAATGCACCCACATGTAGATGGACAGTCAGTGACGAAGGGACCAAGAGTATACATCGCAGAAAAGAAAGTCTTAAGTGAGGAGTGTTGGAAAAATGGACAGTCAGATGCAAAAGAATGAAACTGGACCACTATATTACACAAAAAAATGACTAAAAGTGGTAGTAGGCTTGAATATAAGACCTGAAACTGTAAAATACATAGAAGAAAACAGGCAAACACATCACAATATAGTCATCAGTGATGACTCTGTAGATTCATCTCCCAAAACAAGAGATTATAAACATAATCTACATCGAGCTAAAAAGCTTCTGCACAGCAAAAGAAACAAACAGAAAGGCACCATACTGAATAGGAGGAAATATTTGCACACTAGTGACAGGGAGCCAGTGTTCAAGATCTCATACAACAAGAAAAGAGAACAATCCAACAACAAAAGAAAACAAAAGATCTCATACAACAACAAAAGAGCACAATCCAAAAAAAATGGGCAATAGTGCTAACAAGGCTCTTCTCCAACAAAGAAGACATACAGATGGCCACAGGCACAGGAAAAAGGT